TCTTTAAATTACTCAGTACAATATATAGGCATTTAATTGTCCAAACAATATTAGCACAAACCTTTCTTTTCAGTGAACTAAGAGAAGTTAGTAGTAGGACTTTTTTTTTTTTTTTTTAATGTATTTAGTGCAGGATCTACAGGGTCTCACTATGTAGATTGGACTCGTAGTGATCCTCCTATTTGCAGGCACACACCACCATGCCCAGTCTCAGTTGCCTCTCAGTGTGCCCTGGGGGGCGGGGCCAGCATGTTTTGTGGAGAACTATATTAACGATCATTTATTTACTTTGCTTTTCCCTTTTCTCCATTCCCCCATCCCAGTTTCTCTTTCCTTTTAGTGCTTTATTTTTTGAGTTATGAATTCCTTTGAGAATCTGATAAAAATTATGGTTCTCTCCCTAGAACAATGCACATATTGTCACACAGATTTTTATGAAACAATTTTAGAGAATTCAAGAGTTCTTTTGAAACTTCCAAGTTTAAACACTCCTTGTTTAGGGTTAGTCAAATTAAAGTAGTAAAGCAGTCTAGGTGAGCATGTGTGCTGTCACATGCCTACAGTCTCAGAACTGGGGAGGCTGGGACAGGAGGATCATTGCAAGTTCAAGACCAGCCTGAGTGAGCTCAAAGTTAGCCTGACCTGCATAGGGAGACCCTGTCTCAAAAAGACAAAAATTGTCTAATAGCAATACAAATATGTCTTTGTTTCTGGCTTGGTCAGAGCAGAACAAATAAAGAAAAAAGTCCATTAGAAGTCATTGTAAGGTGTGTATGCTTTTTAAAAAAACCTGTTATAATTTCTCAGAACTATACTTCCAAATAGGCAACTTTACAAAGATAGACTAACACTTTGCTAACTTAAAATTAATGTTAAAAAGGGGCTTTAGAAGGCTGGTGAGATAGCTCAGTAGACTAACCGCCTGCTTAGCCAAAAGCAGGGACCTGGGTTCGATACCTTGTACCGTATGCTGTGCCGCCCTTGTGCCCCGGGCACACTGAGCTGGCCACAGAAACTGGGTGTGGTGGTGCATGCCTGTAATCCAAGCACTGGGGAGGCTGAAAACAGAGGATCACCACTAGTCCGAGCTATGTAGTGAGACCCTGTACCAAATACATTAAAAAAAAAGTTGGGGGGACTTTAGTATCTAGACCTGTTGATGTTTGTAAATGTTATTTGTGTTGGGCAATGAATTGCTTCTTATTTGTAGGTCACTAGGACAATTGTGATGTCATAATCCTTATGTTATTTGGATTTCCAAAAGTCTAAATAGTTGAAGAATTAAGATACCTGTGGTGCACAGGTTTCAGAAATTGAATGAATGTAGGCCTTTTTGAGGCATTTAGTCTCTTTGCTGTAGCTTCTTAAAACTCAGCTTTCAGTAAGTACGGAAAGATTGGATAGTTATACTAGCTAAATGTTAGGTTTACAAATGTCCATCTTTTACCTTTCTGATGCTCTTTGTAGGGTGACTGAAATGTATGTGATTTGTTTTCTGGAT